ACATGTAGATACCACACATGAACCGATTGGAAACATGGGAGGATATTAGTGTTACATGTTATGACGCGGAAGTTGCGTTGGAAAATATGATTAGCATAATACGCCCATGGACATGCGCACACACACAACTCTCTTTAATAAATTCATTCAGGCTTTATGGAGGATCTCCCTGCGATTATCCAGTCCTCCCTCTTGCAGCTCAACATGTCTATTGGCTGGAAACTGGCCGGCCTTTCTCTGCTCTTTCAGCCTGTTGTTCTGGGAAAAGCCTAAAGGGAAACATTTAGATTGGAGGGCTCTTTGAGACGCTCTGACAGTTGACTGATGACCCTCCATAAAATGACAAAGCATCGCTGTGTGGTGGCCAGTGCGGCCCACTGCCTCCCCATGGGAAACTAATTGCTTTGAATTGTTAACGGCAACATTATTTTTCTGCCAATCATTGCTTTTCAATGCCCCGAAAATGAGCATGAAACAAGTCTTTTCAGCGAACAAAACAGTTAAATGTCCCCAATGTTGATCAAATTAACTTCAGCACTGTGACAATGGACTATATTTGTGTGAAAATAATGGCGCGCCACAAAAGACGCCTTTATGCCAGGATTTCACAGTTGTAATGTAAAACTGTTCTCCCCTGAACCGGACCAGCCACTCTGAATGGGGGTTGGAAAGAGAAACAAACTCCAATACACAAAAGGGATTTTTTTAAGGAAGAGGGGGGAAAAAAAAAAGAAAACCTGTTGGTTTTATCTCATGCTATCATTTCAGAGGCTCATTTAGCAGCCACGTTTTCCATCCTCCAGAGAGCATCACTGTCATTACATCAGGCCCAGAAAGCAGCAGATAAGCTGGATTTTCACTGTAAACACATCTCCGTCATCTTGTGTCTTTATAACGATTCTTTCAAACTTAAAGCAAAATAGTTTTGTTTAACACACAAATGATTAAACCTTAACATAATTAGAAAACAATGATCTTCCTACATCAAGGGTAGCTGAGTCTACAAGGTAAATACTGCTTGATGCAGCCTGGAACGCATATGTGCACTTTCAAAGGACAGGAAAACAAGCAAGGGATGCATTTCAAGCAGAGCTTTGCTTTTCTCTCATGGAAGTGGCCCACACATCAGCGCAGGCTATAGAGCAGTGCTTTTTTGATGTGACTCAATAGTGAGGTCTGGCTGGCTAAACGCTGTTCCTTCTCAGCATTGTTCCCCCGAGGCCTTGAAGCACTTTGGAGATAAACACTGTTTAGCAGTTAAAAGGGCCACAGAGGAAAAGGCTTATCAGATGTGTTCTCAATGGGCTGTAAGCTGTATTATTAGGCCTGGGCCTCAGATAAGGTGGAGGCTGAAGTTTGATGCCCAGTAGCAGAGCTCCATCCCCAGCCCCGTCGTGTGATCAGGCTCCTGTGCCGGCTGCCTCACGGATCTCAGCTGGTGGTGTGTTCAGCAGCATCCCCCCCCCTCCCATCCGAACCGCTCTCCCATCCCGCAATGAGAGATTAGAGCTCAGAGAGGGAGAGAGAGCAGCGAGAAGAGGGAAGGAGGGGGAGTTTGGCTTTAGATATTCCCCCTGTCCCCTTTCCTGCTCTGCTTCTGGGGGTAGGAGTCAGAGTTAGGACAATAGCCAAAAAGATGGTTCCCAACCAGCCGCTGAATGGGAACACTGTTGGTGGTAGCGCTTCATTCAAAGCCTGGCCCGGGCACATTGTCCTCCCAGATCGGCAGAGGAGAATGGAGTTTGCTGGTGGCTGCCAAAAGGTTAGCAGCCTCTGTGAAAGGACCGACCCATTATTCACTGCCCTTTACAGAGCCCAAGCACCCTTTGTGCTCCTCCTCCCTTCCCTCTGCACCGCCAGCTTTTTCTCACTCCGGTGCTCCGGATCTGCGCCCGACGGCTTCCCCCAAAGTGAGCGAGTGAGGCGCGATGCCCCCACTATTCCACCCCTGCGCCCCGAGCGAGGAATACCAGTGGAGCTGGAACATATAACAACCTGCCCACCACCACCTTGCATCAACACCACTTACCCCTCGTCCCCACCCCTGTCAAAAAGGGAACCTTTAAATGATATGGCCCAGAAGTAACTACACGGTTACCATCCACAACACGCCACAACACAAGGGGATTTAGAAGGAGGGAGCGTGGAAACTGCCACTCAGCCAACACCATTTCTATTCAGCACCCTCAGCCACCCAAGTACAACTCTGAGACTCTGCCATTTGCGTGTATTTACTGGGGGACCATTAAAAATAAATCTACTGAAAAAAGCATGAAAGCGGGAGAAACACAATGAAAACGCTTAAATACAAGCAACAACAGAGGTCCTTTAGAAACTTAATTATGTCAGTAAATCCAGGTAAGTTACAATGTAATAAAAACGGCAAAAGCTGCTTTATTCCTAAAAACCTCCCACTTCCCTGTCCATTGTAGCGCTTCCACCCAATTGAGAAAGAGGAAAAAAAAATACCTCGTGGAAAACACGTATCATAATTCAGACACATCGCCCGGCGACGATATAAGACGCACATACATGTTGTTATCGTGAGAGGTCCCCTGCTGCCAGGCTGGTACGAGGTTTTTATTCCGTGTTAGCGTGGCCAGGTAGGGAGCAGAGGTTGCACCGTGCACTCTATCATCTCACTGCACTGCAAATGGATATCCCATAAATCACATTAGCGTGGACTATGAATACATAGCCTGGACCTGTTTGTGTGGAGGACGGCTTCTCTCAGCTCACTTAAGAAACCTTCACACTTCCTATTGAGATTCCTAGATGCAGTTGCCAGCATGATTAAAAATGTTAAACTTACTTATTTACTTGGGTGAAGCATTGTCTAAATGGAATGGCAATGTGAGTTTTTGATTATAGGACGTCTTGCATAGAGTTGGTATTGAAACAGAAACAAATACATCATGATGAAATACTTGCGAAATTCTATTTTTGATATCTAGTGTGCGAATGGAGGGTTACAAATGAAAAGCAGTATGAACATTCTCAGCTAACATCACAGCAATCAAATTAGGTTTCATTATTTGGGGACTATCTCCTGTAAATTTAATGTAAATCAAACTAATATCAAACTGATACTTCCTACGGAGCAAAGTGTTTCTGAGGATGGAACTAAATAAAAGAAATGAATTAGTTGTCAAATATGAAATTAGCTGTTACATATGTTGATAATTAATACATCAGTTTACTTCTTATTTGTGATTACTTTCTGGTTTCTTTACTTCTCTGTGACAGTAAACTAAATATCTTTGGGTTGTGGACAAACATTAGAGGATGCTATCTTGAGCTTTGGGAAACACTAACCCACATGTTTCACCACTTCCTGATATTTTATAGACCAAACAACTTATTAATTAATTAACAATCAACAGGTTATTTGACAATGAAAATAATCCTTGGCTGCAGCCCGACAATCACCCCTGTGGAATATTTTTTGAAATATCTCGCCCTTGAGAAACGCATCGGAGAGACCAGACAGACAAACACTTGCTTCCTTTCCTCTGTTGGTTGTGGGACAATAACGAAGAAGAGTGTGGGATTACACCACAAAGAGAGAAAAAAAAAAAACACAACTGAAAATGTTAGAAAGTGAGAAAAAGTTAGAGGGACAGAAAAAGAACAGATAAAAGAGACTTGGGAGTTCACAGACCGTGTAGTGAGTAAGACCCCCTACTTCTACAGACAGATGTAATCCTACCAAAACCTTCTCGGCTGTACCTCTCCTGCTCAGGCTCACTCTAAGCCTCCATTACAATATCAATACAGGTTTTGCCATGCCAGAGAGAACTGGGATTTGTGACTACTATCTACTGCCTCTTTGTAGATTCCCATTCCTTACATACACACAAAAAAACAGCTTTGTATTCAATATTTTTTTCCTAAAATATATCTGTACCTTTAAATATTCCTGCTTCTTTTAGTCTATACAAATTTTACCTGATGAGGATTAGACGTAATCGAGTTCTTCATTGAGTTTTTTAGTTCTTTCACAGTGAGGTTTGATAAGAATTTTTGGTGTGGAAGAACTTTATAGTAATTTTTGTTAGTGCATTGTAATTAGTGTAATTAAAAGTAATTATTGTGAGGCAGGTAACCTGTAAATGTGAGTGGTAAATATTACTGCTGAACCCTCTGAACTCTGAAACCCAACAGCAGGACTGAAAGGAAATAAAAAATATCACCCAAATTACACCATTTATCAAAGCCAGACACTAAAAACAGAAAAGAAAAAAAAAAATCAGCAGATTTTCAGTCAGTTATTTAGAAAAGTCGACCAGATCTAAGCTTAAAATCATGATACTTATTCCATAGTCTTCATTTAAATATTAAAATTTTTAAAAAAATAAAATCATTTGCACCAGATTCGATAATAAACTAAAAGATCTCTGCTGGTCAGCACAGGTGAGAAGTTATGAGCTGCTGTCAACAGTCACATGACAAAAATTCTACGACTGTTCAGCTGAACTGCAGACTGAGCAAACAGGAGACAAGTACGGAAACGAATAAAAACTGTTCGGAGTAAAACAGTGATCTTATGTATGGTGACCGTTTTTACCTTACTAGCAACACTTGGAGGCACTAAAACAGATGTTGCACATGTTGAGTACAGGTCTCCAATTATAAATGCTAAAAGAAAATCAATTTTCATTTTTTTCTTTTTTATGATTTAGGGAATTATTGCCTCATTATATGGCAAAGGAGATATTTTTGAGTTCCCCTTCCATCTAGTCATGGTTGTGTTGTTTCCATGGAGGTGCAGGAATTTATACTGCAGATAAAAATGAGCCCACAGTGAGGAAAAATGTGATCAGAAAAGAAACTGCTTACCTTATTTTAAGAATGCAATTAAGAGTAAGAATTATTTATATAAAATGATTTTTTTATGGTCATATATCAATGATATTTGTTGGAGAGGTGTGTTGACCTCAGAGAGAATACAGTAGATAGACTCAAAAGTAATATGAGGAGAGGTGGTGTCCAGCCTGTACCTGTCTAAAACGTATCCCAGGGCCTTCTGCCTGGTCCCAGAGTAGACCGAGGGGCTTTTCTCCCAGGCCACAAGGTTGGAAGCATCGTGGAAAAGGTGGATGTTGACCAGATCAAAGGCACTGGAATGAAAGAGCACGTTGTGAGTGAGCGTCTTCCTCCAGAACATCATGTGTACAGCACAGTATTAACCATCTAAGATTTAATTCCAAGTGATGAAACTGTTATTCTGAATCAACTACTGAAATTGAAAGTATTACATCTATCAAGTAAATGGGATAACTTCTTCCCCAAGGCCCTCAAGCTCAGCCTATTGGTGAAGATACCACTACAAACACTAATCTGCTTTTTTTTTTCTCCCACTTTGTCCTGTTGGGTAAAAGCAGGACAGCCCAGTGTACAGTGATGAACACCTCCCTGCAGATCCTATCAGTCTGGGGTGTTTTGTTAGCATGGTGCTTGCGGCGCGACTCAGAGGAATTGATCTTATCTCGTGGGATTTATTCTGCAGTGACATCCCGAACAAATGAATACATGCATGGCTTTGACTATCTCTGTCTATCCCATCTCTGATCTGATCTCCTATTCTTCACCAGCCTCTCTCTCCCTGCCGCTCTTGTCAAACGTCATGCCCCTATTAAATGCTTACCGTTTCAGCTCTTTAGTTCTCATGTCATCCCTCTATTAGATTACAATCCCCGTCTTCCACCCCTCAGCCACCCACTTCTCCCTCCCCACCCTCTCTCCTGCATCCCCAGCTCCGCACACTGGAAGCAGCGTTTGTATTCATCCCATACAGGTTCAATTGCACGTAATGTTTTTTGTCATCTGTCATATGCAACTGCTTGACTAACGTGATTACGTCTAATCAAATCCCTGCTCGCTGCCGTGGCACACTGTCCGGAGAGGCTTCGGGCTGCGTAAGTCGCTCTGTGCGTCCGTGCTGTCTGCGATAAGCTCGCCGTGAGCAGCTCACCGCGGCTCGAGGGGGGTGAAGTCAGACATGACTGACGTGGTTAGATCTTCATCTCTAATCACATTGATACAGTTGTAATGATTCAAGGTTGAACGGTGATGAGGTGGGATGTGTCATTGTAGGGGCCTATTAATAAAACTCACCAGTCAGCCAGGGCCCATCGAGTTCTGATGAATCCCTTTCTGGACCACTTGCACTGCAGAACAGAGACACTCAATTTAGCATGACAATGGTAGAATTTGACATTGGTAAGGATTCACCGCGAGGCAAAGCAAAGCTAGAATGTCAAACGTTTCACAGTCACGTCACAATGTCCATCAGCTGGAAGTCAATCTCTGGTTTAATCAACAGTGTCAAAAACGGTTCAGTTCGGTTTGGACCCAAATTACACACGTTTTTAATGAATGAAACTTTGGATACAATGTTCTAACTTTTGGGAAAAGGCTGTTAAAGAAGGGACACAGACATTTAAACATTATTTTCAAATGTTTTTGTACTTCAGTGGGTCCATTTAAAGTCACTTCTAATTCACTTCATTTCAGTGGGAATTCTTGCTTTATAGTATTTAACAGCTACAGTTACAAGATATTAGTAACATGGACAGAATTCTTCTAAACTGAAAAAAGATAACAGTAAAATAGCTTCAGAGGGACAAGTCACAATATTAAAATGCTGTTTTAAAGATTTAAATATCCATCAATAAGATTAAACTAAGGACAACATGTATATAATAACCATAATAAACCATAGAAAAACTGTTGCGACTACTTGTATTTTATTTTTTTTAAGTAAAAGTCAAATTTTCAGTGCAGGTTTATCCATGTGGACACAGACGACCAAGCACATTCACCAAACCCACACTTTAAATGCAATAAAACCAGTCAAGTGCATAGAAAAACAGTAAGGCACTGAGTCTGCTTTTAAACACTATTAACATCGGAGCTAATGCAATCTGGCAAAGTATTTCAGCAGCTGGGAGCACAAAAAAAAAACAAAAGCTGCTTCATAACCTCTGTTTCAACTCTCCTGACCTGAGCTTGAAGATTTCTGAGAGGTTCCTACTGAGTGAGCAAAGCCACGTCGGACTTTATCGACCACAAGTAAAATTAAAAAAAATAAATAAATAAACAGGTGTTGATCACATTTGTCCTTCCTTGTTTAGAGTCTACACACAGTCTTATTGGTTAGAACAGTGAGGATGTAACTGCAGTGGAAATAAACGCATCTATATGGTTTTCTGCATCTGCCTGAGACAAGAAGCCAAGCACTCTCTCTATATATATAAATATATATATATATATATTACAGAGGAAATAAAAGCAGTTTTCCATCGCGGCATTGCTACATAATGTTAGGTCTGAATCAGTGATAACATTCGAGGTTAACAATCTGTTAAAATAATCATATTGTGATTATTTTTGATCGGTGCTGCAATTGTGATACGAGTCACAACTTTAGTGAGGAATGCCTTTTTTTTTTTTTCACTTTTCCACTGGGGAACAAAACATGACATGATTTTTGCTGCTGCCTGCACCAAACACACATGTTCCCTTGTGTCTGCGGGATTTGATTTATAGGCCGGGGCTTCTCTGTAGCACCACAGCGCATCATTTATGGTGACACATTTTACCTTTAGCAAAAAAAAAAAAACTTCCTGTGATTTGGACACCGCACTTTGCCATGTTTTAATAATATTTCAATTAACCGTACAGCCCCGGATGACAGCGCTGACATTTCTGACCTGTGTTACACTTGTCAGGGCAAAAGAGGCTTGAAGAGACCGGAGAGACCGCTCAGTGTAAACATCTAGTGTGCTGCTGTTTGATCAGATCCCACCAGCCTTGAGCTAATTATCCAATCACAAGCCCAAAGATCTTCCTCAAACAGCACATGATTCACCATGAAGCTGGTTATTAAATGAGAGACAAATTGATGTTGTGAGTGTTCTCATTCTGAATAGATAAATAAGTCTCTTTCCCCGCAACCTCTCTCTTTTTCTGTCTATCTCCCTCTGATACCCCTAATGGGGAGTTAACTGCGGTGATGAATAAACTAATTATGGGCCAGGTCACATAATTACAAATTGACTAATTTTATTTAAAAAACTCAGATGCAAATTAAAGGGCTAAGAGGTATTTGATTGCGCCTCACATCCTTCAATCTGCATTAGTACAAGATTAACTGTATCAAATTGAATTACATTAGCATACTTGAATTAATCCATACTGCCTCGGCAGGATGTATGGGCCCAATTATAACTCGCTGTCCCAATATTGTGACTTTGAAAGGAGCAAATGGAATTAGATATGAGTGTCACACTGGAGCAAAACAGATTGAACGTACACTTGAAAAATCTGTTTTTTAAACTAAATGAATATATTAAAAAGATAAACACAAGCAATAAGGCTCAAGTAACTAAATCCAGTAATCACCCACAAAACGTACATGTAGTTTGAAGAACACATTACTTTGTTGCATGAAAGATCCATTAGTGGGCTGCATGTGTTTGTCAATGTAAAGTTGAGGAAAGAAAGTCGTCGGAGAGGATGAGGAGGGATAAGATGAAGAGTGAGTTGGTGGGGGGTGGAGGGGGGGACTTGCTCAGTACCCATACGAGCTCTGACTGCCGCCAGAGACGTTTAATCTCGATTTAATTTAAAGAGCCATTAACTACAATCGCAGCATTAAAATCCATCACTTTCTTGACACCCGGCCCCAGATTGCCCCATTTCCTCCACATATGACTGATTGACCCCCTGCTTCATCGCTTGCTTATAAACACGCTCACAACACACACACACACACACACACACACACACACAGCGAGCAAACACACGGACGACCGTCACGGCAAAAGCGGTGCACGCACCCTCGCATTCGAACAAAACAAGAAGCATCTTCCGTCTATTCATTTCACCCAATTTAAGCGCTTTTGTTTTGTAGCGCGAGTCGGGTTAAGATGATTATCTCGCGCAATCAATCAAAGTGCAGAAGAAGAGGAGTGTCCTTCTCCATTGGCTGACATGATGACATCATGATTTGGTTGCTACAGCTGATATCGGAGCGGAGATGATGACACAGATGCTGTCCGGCCCCATTTAATCTCCTGCTGAAACATCATCATCATCACCACCACCACCCCCCTCCCTCCTCTACACAGCCTCAAAAAAAAAAAAAAAGAAGAAAGAAAAATACTGATCTTTTTAACATTTAAGAGTTCAGCCAATACACTTGCTCTGTCGCTGTTATTTTGAGAAGAAGACATTTTGGATGAAACGGATAGGTCACATGTAATCATATCATACATCAGGTGTGGTGGCTATAAAGAGTCAATGGGGGGGGAGGGGTGATGGCTGGAGTCGAGGGGCAACGGTAAAAGGTCAGAAAGGCTCGGGGTGACATTGGCTGACCTTCCACAGGTCACCGATGGCGTCTCCGCCCATGACAGTGATGAACGGCGGCTACACAGGGGGTCACATCCATGGATGTCAGGCAATATACGCAACTGACCGCTACATGCACACACACACACACAAACACACACACACACACACACTAACACACAGACGGGATGAGAGACAGACGAAAAAAAACATCTTTAAAAAGATGGGCGGAGGAGAAGTCGAACCCATCGGATGCACTTGAAGCTACTACATAAAAACTCTCCGGTTGCGACCAATGGAAAGCTACGCTCCTATGAAATGTCAGATGTGACACGTACACGCACTAATGTACAACCACGCTCCCAGCTCCTGACCAAAACACCCTCCCGCCACTGTTTCTCGGTCCATCCCGTTTGATTCTCTGACCTTTCTTATATTTCAGCTCAAAGTCCGACCCCCATAAATAATATTATGGCGGGGTGATGTTCGGGAGGGGGGGTGACAGGAGAGCGCAGGACGTGGAGGGGGGGGGTTACACAAAAGCCCTGTGACAGAAATGCACTGTGAGTAATAAGTAATACACACAAACGCTGATTGATTTGAGCCCCAGTAGACAGTCACATTTATCTTTATTCCATCATCCAAGGGGGCCCATCAAATAACAGCAGGCCTCGCTTCGGGTTTACATGACTGGACAGCACATGAACATATGAGTGTGTGTGTGTGGATAAAGATGTACCACAAGTACAGATTGCAGCCGCCGTCCTTGTCACGAGCTCTAAAAATTCCCAGAGTTAACTGAAGAGAGGAAAATGATGCAGCCCGAAAAGGATTTCTGCAGTAGCGACAAAATCGGTTTTCTGAGCCTTCTGGATACAAAAAAAAAAATGAGTGAAGAAAGCCTTCATTTAGCTTTCATTTCAACATTAGCCCCTCGTTTATGAGCTCCTTGCAGTCTCATGGATCACGGCCGTCACAGAGAACAGCATCTGTGTCACAGGTGTCTTGTCTGGTGATAAATGCGGAGAGCTTTTTACAAGCAACGCCGGTTTAAATGACTTCATCTCCTTAACGTACGCATCACGTCGATGAATTACGTATGGCGCTTAAATCATAAGGGGGAAAACATGAAGGAAGTTAACTTTCATCAGGGGCAGAACTTGAAAGTAATCACAGCCCCCGTATCAGAGCTTACTACAGGGGGCACTAAAAGGGTATGAAAAGTCAATGCTTTTATGGACACGCTCGTGGTGCCAAACAACAAATACAAACTCATATGGATGTTGATCTACAGCCTGTCTGCTGTTTTCTTCCTTCCCCTTTCTTTTCTTTTTTTTTTTTTTTTTTTAAACTCATATGGATGTTGATCTACAGCCTGTCTGCTGTTTTCTTCCTTCCCCTTTCTTTTCTTTTTTTTTTTTTTCTTTCCTACGGTTGTGTAAAACAATCAATACCAAGGGCACATTAAGGTCTGGGTCGTATACTTTATTTATATAAGGCAATGACAAATCCTTATGATGCAATGGTTTTTGGAGGCATGTATTGCTGCGCCAAACAAATAAATATATTAATTCCCACTGGGGAGGCGGAGAGATTGACGGAACAACGGGAAACGACAAGCCGCCAAATCCATCACGGCGACCTTTCAAAAGGAATGCGCCCACAATTTTGTCCACTTCCTTCTTATTCAGCATTTCAATTAATGTCCCTGCTTCTCTCCCCTTCACTTACAGCTATAACTCAAGGTAGGATTACGGAAAGAACTGAGATTTTGCATATGGAGAGCTTGTCACTTAAATCAGAATCAAACTAGGAGGAAAAAAAAACACAGCCACAAGCAGAGAGTGTGAATGTGAGTAATTTAACCCAATATTTTACTCGACGATTTATGATCTTATGTTTAGTCACTTATGAAAGCTGAAATCGAAAGTCAACTTGAGCGTGATTTAGGTTAAACGAACGATAAATTACATTATTCCGGAAAACAGTCTTGTTTGGTTTCATTTCTAATTGCGTCTCCGTCCGCACTAGTTGGACATTAAAGGTCCCGTATTGTGGCCCTTTTAAGGAAATTAATGAAAGTCTTACATGTACCCAGAATGCGTCTTTTAATTTTCAGCTCAAAATACTGTAACGATGGTTAATTTTGCAATGACTTTGTAACCCCCCCCCCTGGTTTTAGTCCTGTTTGAGTGTCTGTAATGGTTTTCTGTTTAGGCCTATTCAGGAAGAAGACTCTCCCTGCATCTGTGATTGACAGTGCAGGGATGACTGAAGTAAATGAGTGTGAGATTGCAAGATTTTTTTTGCTTCTGACTTTCTCTCTAAGTGACATGGAAACAAGCTGAATTCACAGCACAGTTGTTGTGTTTGCTATCTGAGCATGATGACTTAGTCAGACAACATAGCGGCATGAAATCAGTATCTGAGCAGTGCTGAGATCAAGTGGCTATAAAGTGACTGTGCTCTTAATGGGCTGCATTTGAGTCACTATTTTATACCTGAGTACATATTAGTAAATGTTTTGCTGTGAATTCAGCTGTATTTAAATGTAATATATGCAGTTTTACTGGACACACAGAGCAGGACAGATGTGTAAAAGACTGTAGAGGTTGCACTGGAGGCACAGTTTCCAACATATGTGAATGTCCCTCAGCTTTACAGCTTCCACACAGCTCTGACCTGTGAGCGTACTATCAAAGCTAATGGTAACTTTAGCCCCATTAGCTGCACAATGTGCAACCCTAAGCATTATTGCAGCCCACAGCAGAACGTGTGTGTGTGTGTGTTCGGCTCATGGCTGAGGCGTTTTAGAGTTAGCAGCTCTAGAAAGTAAATAAATCTGGACCGCAAAACAAGCAGTGGAGGCAGGATTATGTGAACTTTGAGCTGGACAATTACTCGTTACCCAGTATCTACACAGAACTGGATAAAATTCTCACTGACTTGAAAGGCCATGTTGTTGAGTAATGGCAGCAGGAAGCTCCTTCTTATTTTCACAGCTTTTATTTTTATACGTCCAAGTTTATAAAATATACAAAACAAAATAATATGACTTTTCGCCATATGGCACCTTTAAATAGCACACAGGGAGTTGAACAAGTTTATTAATTGGTGAGTTGATTGCCATAAAATACGTGCTTTTCTCTGCTTTGTATTCTTATAAATTCAACGTCTTTGAGCTGTTGAAGGTAAACCGACTAATCTGAGATATAACTGGCAGATAATTCAATAATGAAACTAGTTGAAAACACACTTTGCGAATTGTGAGCTTTGATTTATGAGTTTAAACCACCACACAGCGCTCAAGTGCACTGAGACGTACTGAATGACATTTTGTTTCTCTGTTTTAAACACGCAGCCCTCCCACCATGATGTCATCAGCGCTGACACTTTATTAATGGCAGACTGTAAAGGTAAAACACAAGCAGGGAAAAACACACATCTGTCTCTGTGGCCACCTGAGCCGTGTGCCGTCACTGTCTTAACCTTCCTCGGAGGATTCTGGCTGACAACCCGGATGAGTTGAAACGCATTTTTATTTTCGCCGCAAATTAGCTCTGTGGGGATGTAAACAAGATACCTGCCCTCTGTGTCCTTTTTGATAACTTTTAATGATGCGCTTCCACATTCGTCACGACAATTACTCAACAAATCAAAAAGGCCGTGTGATCCAAAACCGAGAAACTGGTTTTGGACTGTGCGTGGCGTCCTGTCCGGTCCAAGATCCCCATGTAATAGGATTCCTCAAAGCTGCAGATGGATGGCAAATCTAGGCGGTTTCATCTACTAAAAGAGGGCATAAATCACTAGCGGAGGAAGCGGGGACGAGGCAGGGGTTATCACCAGTCTGCCTCCCTCATGAGAGCTTTGCATTAAAGCATTAGTGAAATTAATTCATCTTTCATAAGAGGTTTGAGCAGTATCTGTGATCTATGATAACAACCAATTTCTCACTACGGAGGGGCCGGCGGAGGAGGGAGGGAGGGAGGCAGGAGGGAAAAAAAAAATACTCTGCGACCCTGATAGACTACACAAATCTGCTCTTTTTAAATGGGCTAACATTATCTGGAGTGCTGCTCTCTGGAGCATCATCCCAGATTCATATCCCAGCCGGGAAAGAGGCATAAATCACCGTGCAAAACTTTTCTCATCTGCCCCACCACCACCACCGCCGCCGCCGCCGCCACCACACACACACACCTCCTTTCTCTCTACATCACTCGCCTCATCCTTCTCACGGTACGCTGTGCCAGGTTTGTTTTGTGGTTTTCTTTGCTTGTCCTGTTAAATGCAGAACAATGCTTTGCTGTAATCATTTTAAATGGCTTTGCGCCTCAATCAGTGTAATTGGTTTTAGATCATCTCTGGAATGGGAAAGTGGGAAACCTGAAGCTGTTTAGGTGTGTGTGTGTGTGTGTGTGAATGCTTATGTTTGTGTGTATGTCTAGGGTGGCTCAGGGGGTAGGCAGAGAGGTGGGGGTCCCGCAGTGTGTGAAAGAGACGGAAATTGGGGGGAAGTGTGTGAAGGGGCCGTATCCATCTGTTTTGCATATATTTGCGAAGGCGGCCGTCGGAGCATGGTTGACAGATGAGTGGGGAGTGCGGGGATGACACACGGGCGGTCGTGCTCTTTATTACTATATCAGCACAGCTATGCTCAGCGCTCAGCTCCCCCTCTGATGGCACACCGCGCCGCAGCCAGAAAACCGAACACAGCGGAGTGAGCAGAGAATTGCTCCGCGGGACACGGGAAACACAAAACGAGGACATTCTCTTTCAAGATTTGAATTTGTTGGGACTGATTTGTCTCCGGATCAGCCATGTGTCAGCTGGATTTCCTTGAAGTAGAGAAAAAAAAAATGTGACTGTAATGGAAGAGAAAATAGAGACACGAAGAAAATGAAATAGATTTTGTAAAAGCAATGAAAAAGAAATGAGTTTTTTTTTGTATAGATTATTGAAGCTTGGTGTTTTGGATTAAATAGCAAAATTAGACCACATCGTTGTGTATGATTTACACTGTGATGGTAAATTATATGTGTGGCAGAAAGTTCAAAAGATCCTTATTCCCACTGCAGCACTGATTATTCTTTTCATTTTAGAGCTTTATCAAAGTCACGTCACACTTCCACCTTCGACTGTGATCAGTCCACGTCTCAGCTGTCACTCATCAGTCGAGTGTATTTAATATAAAACCCACCTCAGGGAAGTAGTCCTGTGGAAACTTCTCCTTCTCCAGCGAAGGTGTGCTTTCTAGTGTCTCTGAGCAGGTTTCCTTCCCAACCACCTTCTTATATTTCTTAGCTGAAAAGGTGATGGAAGATGGGACAAAGATTGAAAGAAAGGAGGGGAAAGGTGGGGAAAAAACAGAAAGACAATCAGGTATTGTTACAAACACAGAAGGTTAATTTTTGGAGACCCCATGTGTGAGTCTTCTGATAGCACTGACAGCTGGAGCCACTGTGGCTTCCTCAGACAACTGCCCCACCTGCTGGTCAGAGACAGGAACATCTGCATTCAGAACTAGAGGGACGTGTGAGAGGGGAAATGAAGAAGATGTGCCTGGCTTTGATCTCATGGGGATATTGCTGTGGATCAGATTATACAGATTGTGTGTTCAAGTAAGATATTCTTATTGTGTGCAGTCTGTGTGTCTGTTCTTACAGACGAATTCATCCTCTGGTTAAACGGGTGTATCCTCAGATGCTCTATTCTAATAAGGCAAAGGGGGTAAAAAAACATTTGAAATGAAAAGATACAGCAGCTTTTTATTACACAGATTTAAAAATAAACTGAAAATCTAACACCATCAGATGGGGCCGATGTTGCGATCTAGGTGTTGATACGGTTCTGATACGATTGCAACCAATATGTGGTTAAACTCCTGATCATCACCAGCTGTCCTTCACATACACATTGAATAAAGTCATTTTTTGGCAGCGATGTGAATGAGCTTAAATATGGACTCTGTGGTCACACTGACAGTAAAGGCGGCTTCATTTAAATAGCCTGAAATCATTTAGACAACATGACTTTAGAACCCTGTAAATAACCAAATTGCGATATTAAAGAAATCTGATCATTTAAATCTTTTTTTTACCTCAAAATCTACTCATTAAATATAATGCTGTACATTTTCATTTAAGAGATTTTATTGCTGCAGTTTGTATTAAAACATATAAGAATAAAGTTGAAATGCTGACAGGGTGAAAGCTGAATATTGCACATTTTATGCCTCAGGAGAAGAAATGTGAAATTATGAAAAGTCAAACTTTACTTGAACTCTACGTGGTTTCAACTATCATGTTTGTTTAATTTACTTCATCAGTCTCTCATAATGAGTATCCATTGGGCATTTTTCACAGGAAAACATGTCACAGCAGGAAAAGCACAGATGTAAATAATAAAATTAATGTTGTTTGAATCCCATGTAGCTGCTTCAGCATCCTGGTATTGTGTTAAGAAGACTTACAAGAAGAAAACATGGACACGGTACACAGTCGGTGCAGGGGGTCATGTGATTTTAAATCAAATCTGAAAAGTATGTGTACAGGGATAGTGGTCCTGTCCCCTGCCGACCCCTCCCCTGCCTTCGCCCTGTCCTTCACTGGGGGTAACCGGTGCTAATGCTGACTTGGGTCTAATAGGAAGCGAGGCGCCTCCACATCTATATCCCTTCTTTAATTAGCGCGGTCGCCGGACCCCGGGGCCCTCTGACACCGCAGGCTGATGAGACCGCTGTAACTGTCCAATAACTTGCCGCACACCATTACTGTGGGCCCGAAATCGTATGAATTAAATCCTAATATTAATAAGCATTACCATTCTGTCCCGCTGCCTTTACATTATCCTCAAAGCCAATCTAAGCTCCTGGTTTTGATGGAAGCGGGAATAGCCTGCAAATGGTTGTGTGTGATATGCAGGATTTCATTTCAGGACAGCTGTGGTGATGAATACGTGGTGTGTGTGTGTTGGACAGAGCGGGGAGTGGTCTTACCTTTGAAATCAAACTGGTGGATGTTTTTCAAAGACTCGTGGATAAAGTAGAAACTTCCAAGAGCCTGCAAGAAGAAAAGATTCTGGTGAGAGTTTTGCAGCATTTGTAAAGAACTTTTTTTTGTTTTTCTGAGTGGATCTGGATGCAGATTTTACTTGACAAAAGCTTGTTTAGTAGCTACACTTTCTCAATTTAGTTTCCAAGATCCCCGAGCAAAAGCTTTTCAGCGTCAGGATTGACCTGATGTGAAAACGCCCGACTAATAAACTGGACCGAAAGCAAAGCCAACACAGAGTCCTGCACACTCTACAGCACACTCCACAAACACTACACACCACGAGCTACACAACAACAGGTGCACCGTGCTCTCAGTACAGTACGCTCGGCGCAGTTTCCTATTCTGGAGTCTTCTAATGTGACGAGTCAACAATTTGAGCTTTCAAAGGACACATTCAGATGGACTTTTCAATGAGCAAAGATCAACTTCAATAGGCTTAAAATCTTAATTTTCCCTGTGAACAATCAGGAAACTTTCCCAGTCGGTGGACAAGCCAATCAAAGTCTGTGGGAAGAAGTGAGAGTGGTGCAGAGGGGGATTTGATGCGGTTCACAGTCCACTACACTGCTTTCTGTTGGCCTCTTTACATTTAGGGCAAATGGAGCTCAAGCTCAATCCCCTGTGTCTTTGAGATAGCAGACCTTTGGCTCGGGATAATTCTGAGTCTCCTTTCTCCACTCAAAGAGAGAGGCAGAAGGTGGCGAGTAACTTTTCCTATAAAGACCAGAGCGAGCAAATTAAAACATGAGTGAGTCGAGCGAGAGAAAAGACAAAAGAGCGAGATAAGAAATGGACTGACCGAGTTGGACGATAAGAGGAAAGGCTCAGGTACAGTAAATGAGAGATGAGTGATATGGATGGAGGGGTGTGATCAAAAGGAGGAGGAGACACCGGCAGGACAAAAAAAAAAAAAAAGAGGCTGGAGGCATGAAGAAGGAGGATTTAGTCTTTTTCCTGCGTTTTCCTATTGAGGCCGGGTGCAGACGCCTCTCTTTCCGACAGAGTTTGGGCCCGGCCCGGCCTCTGCATTATTTATGAGCGCCGGCACATCTTGAGATTAAACATTTGCTGATTTGTCAAAAGCACAAACATGAGGTCCTGCCCATCTCCTTGACATATAAGTTCAGCCGACAGAAAACACTGTCGCACATTTAATTGATGAGAACCGCGGCTGGTGACCCGAACCCCCGCCGCGCTCCCCTCCCTCCGTCATTCCTTCTCCTGCTCCGGCGGAGGACGGAGGGAAGGGAGGGTGAGGAGGAGGGAGGGAGTGTATATGAGAGGGGACGGCGTTGGGCGAAGGCAGGACTCAAGGTCACAGCTTCCCATTGCGAGAGGACGGCTTCCAGGAAGGCCCCCTACACTTATTTGTGCTCACTTGTCTTTATGTTCTCTTTCACCTTAAAGTGCCAACAACAGACTTGCAGACAGAGATGGATAGGAAAACAGGGCCAGGGAGGGAAAACTGGGCGATTTGTCAAAATGGTGCCACTATGCTAACTGCTGCTGTTTGTGTGAATATTTCAGCGGGTAGTGGAGTAAAACTGAGCATTTTTGAAATATTATTATGCTATGGATGGGGAGAAGGTTAATATTTCTTTCAGTTTTAAATTAAACTCTGTTTTTCTGCCAAGTCAACGTACTGCTACCACTTGATCAACAGAAAATTAATAGACAAAAATGTGTGTGATTAATGGTTTAGGTCAGACTGTACAGCGAGGAAAACGATCACAGACTCAAATTCAAATATTTTCTTTTATTCTGTGCTTTATAGGAGCATAAATCAAACATGAATGATAATTAGATCCAATATCCAGCATTTATCAGATTATCAGCATCATGGGTTTTTTTTTAATGTTTCTCAATAATTAATCTAAAAATATGTTGAACAATTAATTCCCTATTTAACACAATTAAATTAGCAAATTGCATGAGTGCTAAAAACTCAGCCTACATTATGCAGCACATCTGATCAAAGGTTTAAACTGTTTTTACAGATTCCTGCAGTCCTCCATGTGGGACTTATTGTAGCTCATGTGGTAATGATTCATCAATTATTTTAAATGGTTTTTAATCAGAGTGAACTTTTTTTTTTTTTTTTACAAATCAAGTCACAAAAAGCACAAGCAGACAGTTTCTTGAAAAAACTTCCAGCCCTACACACTGTTTAGGAACTGATGCCTCTCTATCTGTAGTCACCTCTCTGTCCAGCTCACAGCTCTATCTGATTGGTTAAACATAACAAGTATCAGCCAATAAACAGTAACGCATAAATGTTGGAAAGTTGTCTTTTAATTCAACACGTGTAACAAATAAAGAAAAAGGGATTTCAACAAAGTTTTGTCTTAGAGTTTGTCTTTCATTTTCATTTTTTACTGCCAGTGCACATAGGTTCCAAATATCAGTTATCAGTCTTTTGATTACTAAAAATTAGAATCAATGCTTTAAAAAAAACACATCAGTCGACCCCTTCTGCTGATCTAACCTAAAAGCAATACAAAGATTCCACCGTGAGCTCTAGAACACTGTGATGCTTTTTCTGATTATATCAACAACAACAACAACAAAAAAATGTACATCATGTCTTACAAAATAACAAGTGGAAGATTAAAAACCTTCATCTGTAATAGTCACCGTCCCTCTACAGGCTCGCGACTGCTAAAAATAAAATTAATATGACATCAAACAAATCCACGTGAATCAATTATTAAATAAATGATAAACAACTATGCTTAAGTGGCTATCCATGTAATCGCAAAAATCTACTTAACCCTCCGCCCTAATAAATATTCATTTGACACCGGGGTTCAGAACCTAGCAGCTGCTGCTCTCTCTCCTCTGCCTCTGCCTCCCTCCTGCACTCTTCATGAAGAAGCTATTATATTAGCAGGGCGCAATTAATCCATTTGTCTCTTTACATGACAGGCTCAAAATATTCATTAGGGCTGGACTGCGCTGACAGGCCATGCTTATCTTTTACCAGTAGCTTTACAATGGCCTTTGTCAAACGTATGTTTGTCACGTCCCTCTTTATTGATTAGCTGCCAGATTCACTTGAAATAATTAAAAGTATATTTTACATATTTATAAACCCCACTGCCACAGCGGCTACTTAATTTTCCATTAGTAAAATGCAGTCTATTAAGTGCACCATGAGGGCCGCAGGGGAGGTAAGGGGAAATGAGTAATCACTATAATTGTAGACAGAAAGACAATAACCGCGCCATAAAAGCTGGGGTTTTATGACTCGTTCTGGCAATGCTATCTCTTATCACAAGTCATATTGGCTACGCCGCTCACAGATAAGGGCACACTGACACAACGGCGGCTGTGCTCGCGCTCCGTGTGCATATGTGTGTGTGTGTGCAGTTGACATTTCCAAAACCCCAGCAGATCCGGGCTGAACAAGTCCCAATAGACTGGCTGCTGGAAAATAGAGACTTGAGAGCTGCAGTACATAGCCTGCATACTTTGCTCCGCTGAATGCTTTATCGATACCGAGGGCTGCAAAAATTAGTTCTGGCCGACGAAGAGAAGCAGGAATTCTGTGACCCCTGAATAGATTTTCTGCGTTTAATGTGAAAAATGAGCCATAAAGCAAACATAAAAGTAATAATTTTTCTTCAAGGTCTCACCTCCAATCTGTGCTAAGGGAGAGTGGCCAGTCCCGGGAGAGCTGACACATACACACTCCGGTGTCATCACAGTGTCACTGTACAACTTCAGAGGGTAATGTTCTGCCGTCGCCCGCAAACGACTGCAGCCTTATGGGTTTGTGGAGCATAGCCATGAGTGTCCAATGAGGGGTTTTATAGAAAAATACACGATAGAATAAAAAATCAGCTCAGTAAGGGGAAGTCACTGCGATTATGCTAGCTATAGCTGAACATGATTGTTTAAGTCAGGCTGTGTACTGCTCTGGCCTATAATTATATTTATTCTTTGGGATGAGCTTTCAAATGTTCAAAGGTGCGATGGAAAAGCAAAGGCGTTTGAATTAAATTATAGCTTATTGTGGTAAAAGAAGTCAGAACATCCCCGACACACCAGAGGATGATACTTGCTTAGAAAAAGGGTTACCAGGATGCCAATGTTTTTCTTTTTATCCTGCAATGGATCACAATAAGAAACAAGATGGCTTGAGTTGCAGAAATCTGGAAAAGAGAGAGAATTATTCATTCCACTTGTTTGAGCGAAAGACCTCCCTTTCCACCAACACCTCTGCCACACTGATGTGTTGGTGCTATTTATGACTAGTGAGAAGCTCTGTGATTGGCTGAAATCATCCAGCATGAGCAAGATTCCTTTTTTTGTGTGACAGGAGGAGGAACAGAAGTTTCTACTCAGACCACTTGCATTACAATATGCTGACAGGTTAGTATGGAATTTTTCCCAATGACGTCAAAAAAATATCACCTAGCCCAGCTTTAACTGAGGCCATAACATTGGTTTATTCTAATTTTTTGTGTAGTGTTCCCATTTACTTTTTCCCTCTGTATGTAAATGTATATTATGGCAGTGTTGCCAAAAGTTTTGCTTCAAGTTTAATTGTGGTTTGTGACAAGCTGGGTCTTGGTTTTGTAGTTTTTGACACCATTCCTACACTAGATTGTACTTAAAATCTAAATTTACAATAATCATACTGCAGAAAGAGCAACGTGGAGTAAGGCAAGTTAACTCAAATACATCAAATTTAAACTTTTTTTAGTTGCTTTATATAAAAAGAGAACTTAGATGGTTCATGTTTTCCATGAATAATCTACATGAGGTCCAGTTTACGGGTTCATGAAGACACTTAGGTTTTGCTTAACTTCATTCACGAGACACATGACTTGGTTGCGATCCAAATCTGGTACTGTGAAAATATTTCATTTACAGATAGGATGATGTGCACCAAAAAGAGGTATTCTGTCTGCAGTGTCTTGTGATTGTTGCCACCTCACGAGGCAAAACATCTCTTACTGTTTAATTCAGCACCGTAAAGCTGTGTATGAGTGCAAAGCCAG